TTGGAATTTCTTATTAATCCATTTTTCATTTATTTCTAAACGCTGCTATTTCAGATCACTATAATCAGTATTCCAGTCACAGGTGCTCTAGTATGTTCTCATGCACCCTAGTAGCTCCGTCATGCCGGGATCTGGACGACTTCTATCTATTGATTAATTTATTTATTTTTTCTGAACAAAGGAGAAAAGAAATTTCGACTGTATCTGTGACGTAGTTGTAGCTTTATCCTTTGACGATTGCTGGTTTCTAATAGGGAGAAATAAAACTCCATTAGCTCTGTACCTTCATCCCCTTAAAGTGCCATCCGTGTTCTTTTGTCTCCCTCGAGCAATACGCTATCCGCTGGTTTTATTCATATGGACCGTTATTAATAATATAGCTCCATCCAGCTTCGCCCACTTTTGCACAGCAGTAGATAGCCTTCGTAAGCACCCCTGAGCCAGCTCCTGGGGTTCGTGTTCAGATCAAAGAGGTGCAAATGCACACGCCCCTGTAGTGCTGCGGCCTCAGCATCGGTTATTCTCAGGGCTCGGCGGATAGTGGTTTTCTAAAACAAGTGCCTTTCAATCTACATGAATGTATTGGTGCATAAAATATTGCTCCGTAAAACTAAGTGACACTAACTGTTGTAGCCTTATGGAGTTTTCTATTTCTACTAAAATACTTCTCCCTCAGATAATCTCACGTAAGTCAATCGTATGTTAAATACTGAATAATTACTCCGTATTGCCCTTCTGTGATTGACGCAAAGAAAAAATAAATAAATAAATAAATAAATAAATTTTATCGGTCTTAGATCGCCAACGGCCTGCTGTTTCGCAATTATCGATAATCTCCACGTCCTCGAGTATAGGGTAATCTATTTGCAATGGATACCTCATAGGATGTAAAAGCCGATGAAGGCTCACAAAAAAACGGTGACTTAGTCTTCTCTTCTCCCTGCACGTCATAGGAACACCTCATGGTCAAAATAGTTAATTATGAGATTGGCTGAGGTTTTATGTGACCCATACACATGATCGTTACTGCAATGGAACGAGTGGAAAGTTGCCTACAAGAACGAAACCATAGAAGAATGTTAAGTGGGTGAGAATCCATTATTCATTTTGGGGAGCCCCCCCCCCTTTGCTATCTTATCCTTGGTCCCATGGAACACTCCTTTCTGCTCTTCGATTGAAAATATCCTAAAATATCACCTGACCTAAATGTTCTTGCTTCCTCTCTTGCACTTTCATGATGACCTCGGTGTCGTAAATACGCCGTGCCACTTCACGGACCACACCTAAGTTTTCTTCAGTGAATCTGAATTCTGAAGGAATTCGGCAAGATATTTTTTGCAAACCTTTAACAATAGGGTAGAGGCCACTTCTTTTTGAGTAGTAGTGAAGAAGCAAAGTTCCATCTGCCTGTGGCTCGCAACGAAATGATGGTCCACGAAGCTTTGTCTGATAAACCACGTGGTCGATAAAGTAATGCAAGGAATCCAGTGAGTCCAGAAAGCCCTGAAATTCAGATCAGGATAGTAACCTGCTCACATCCAATAATTTGTCATGAGCCTAGCATCAACGTCCAAGATGTTCAATTTTCATTACGTTCTGCTGTGAACATTCATCCTCGCCTAAGGAGAAGCAATCGGCGAAGAAGTCCCACAAGCACGAGAAAACTGTATGATGTGGGTGCGACACGCCACTACGTCGCAATGCCCCACGGGGTCCACCGGTTAGGACGCCTTTGCGCGTCGCCCTGTTGCCAATGTGCATAAGAGTGGACGACTTAACACGTTGACGACATCGCGTGTTTTGGCACTTTTGCCCGCGAGGGATGGGAGCGACTTTGCGAACATGCCGTCTCACCTTGCTTCCGCTTATTTTATGTTTGAAATGTACAACGACTTGAATCTCATAGAATTAGTGTTTCGGTAAGAATTAAAGCTTGAAGGCAATGATAAGATATTATTGAGCTATCCCTGAGCCTCATAAATCGTATATCTTCTCTTTAAAATTCTCGATGAGAACTCTTCTAATATAAGATTTATGATAATGATAAGGATTTAAATTGATGGGTTGATTCCACTCAAAGTGAAGTAGGGATGAGAGGTGGACCGGCAATGGAGAAGAAAGGAAAGGAAATCCTAAAAGGAAATACAAGCATTTTGCTCTATGCTGTGGAGAAGTTCAAAAGACAGGCAGTGAGATGAGAGATAATGTTAGAGTGGAGAGCGGTCCAGAATTTCGAGAAGAGAGAGCATAGCTGATCAACGCAGCGACGCAGACAAGACATCGCTCGGTGGGCGGATCAAGTTATTTTGGTGGAGTCTGTTAGAAATTTATGCCGCTTAGGGTTCCGGTGATGGGTTTCGACGTAGAAAGGTGGCGCTAACTTTGCACTTGCGTGCCCAGCACTTCTACCCATAGTAAGGCCTACTTAGTTGGGTCTGAGCCCGACCTTTGCCTTTAAAGGTTAACTATATAAATAGCGGTAGATTTGTTTTGTTTGTTTGCTTCACAACCCAGCATTCTTGTGAAGCAGTAGATTTTTTTAGAAGAACGCGTAATGATCATGATGAATCAAAAAACATCACTTTCGCTGCGAATGAGGTTAAAACATCTATGCTTAAGCTTTTATGTCAAATACAAGAATCGTGGAACTCACAGAGTTTTGCAACAACTCCTTTACAATCATTCATGTGAATGTTCACGACAGTGGAAGGATTACCAGGGAAGAATAGAAATGAAAGTTTTGTACGTTCAGAAATTTTTTGCTAAATCAAGGGATATATGACCACTCTGGCTGCCATGAGGTTTCTAGTTATGCTAATATATTATCTATACAATGAATGCAAAAACCTCGAGAGGAAGGAGACCGGAAGCAAGTACAATAAAAATGAATGACAGAGTTCCGAATGTCCGATGCGGTGCCAAATTTCTGACGCGCATGCGCGTCAGCCTATTGTCAATGTGTTAAAGCAACAGTCCCAGCAGGGTGGGCGTGGTCTGAAACGGCTGTAATTCCGTGGCCGATTCCCTTTTCGGAGCTGTTCAGCCCCTAGCCAAGAACGTAAGAAGTGTAACCGAACAAAAACTCACCTGGAAAGCAGCTTGGCAGGGAGCTGAAGTGGGCGTGGTTGGAATCGGCCGAGGAGATTGCAGTCGTTTCCGACCACGCCCTCCCCACTGGGACTGTTGCTTTAAGGCATCACATATAGCGTACAAGCGTGGAAGTACAAGTAACTGTAAGTGAGCTGTTCGCGAGTCAATTCTATACCGCATGACCAGCAATCGTCTGTGTATCTAGGCATTATCATTTCTTACCTCCTCATTCCGAGCTGACAGCGGTGTTCCATTGCGGGCATCGTAAAAGGCTCGAATGAATACTGTGGCTAATGAATGCTACCCATAAATCTTCACCTTCCTTTCTTTGATTAGCTAACATCATGTTACTTCACCCATTAACGTTGAACAAAAACAGCGAATTTACGTAAGCTTAAAGAAGCTGTTTGCAAATCTTCAAACACTGTTTTCCACATACAAACACTTATGTCGACAACGATTTGAACAAGAGCAGCGAAGAGCAATGGAAGGAGCAACTTGCCAATTTTACATTCTTCTGCAGAAAGCCGTTTTAGGAACCCAGAAAAACCAACAAAAGTCCCAAATATGGAGGCCCTTCTCTCGAGACTGTGTAGGGCTCCAAGAGACAGACAGCGAGAGCGAAGTACTTAACGGTGCCAAAGGAGGAAAGAATGAGCTACAAGAGAGCGTGAATATGATAAAGAGTATTCTTGGGCTTCGATTGGTATGTGGAACACGCCGGCAACGTAACGCCTTAGTTTGGCAATGTCGTAATGTAGGGTCATTATGATCCTGCTTTTCAAACACATTATTTATCTCGCGCCAGGGCTTCGATCCATTGACCTAATCCTGCGTTGAGCCTTTAATGGCTTGTATCGAAGGTAGAGCACGATCGTGCCACCTTGGAACTTCTCAGGAACAGTTTTGATTTTTATGATCATCCTTAATATTTCGTTATACTTGTCCTATTTCACATACACTTACTTCCAAATCCCTTGCCATAGCACGCAATAGCTCATCCCATCCGGTTTCCATGGTGAACTGAATAAGAAAGCCACCATAAGCCTCCCAAACCTCCTCGACAGGAATTCCTGAAATTCCAAGAAAAACATCAGAAACAAAAATAAGGCCTCTTGGCACTATTATTTCAAAAACTACCAATGGTGTTAGCCATAGCGTTCACGAGTCTCATAGTCTCAACATCATTGTAGTAGTGCGCGATTTCACTCTCAGTTCCTTCTTCAAACTTCGCCATTTCGCTGAAATATTTGTTGTGATTGGTTAGAGAATAGATAGATCCCTTTTCAAATTCTAAGATCTATCAACTACTACAAAAATATTCAAAACCTTCCGAAATCACCATGATGTCTTTAGCTAGACCACTGCGGCTACGTAGTGCCCTCAGTGCAATAGTTTATGAAAAACCAATGGGAAAACATGAAAACATGGTAATTTTGAGAGGTTGATTTTTTTAAGTTCCAGAGCAGACACTACTCTCTTTGTAACGCAAAACATAGCATGTATTGGGCTGAGCAGATAAGTTCGTAACGTTTCGGTGCCGGATCTTAAAGACACGGGTCGGGACTAGGTCTTGGAGCGATTCTGTCCATGATGAAGCAGCAGAGTATTCGAACAAAAGGTCCTGACACTGTCATGACTCAAAAGTGCGCGAAGAGCACTAAGCCTCACCTTGCTGCCGCCATTAGGTCGGTCAGACTCGGCGATTACAATGCGATGGATCAGTGCAGGAGCGACGCGATCGCTCCGGCACTGATCCACCGATCGCGCGTCAAGCGATGGAGGATCGCGTCGCTCCGGCATTAGTCCATCGCAATGCAATCGCCGAGTCTGACCGACGTCTAACCACTCGTTCACAACACATATGGCACCCATTCTCGGACGGGGAGCTCCCTCGCGTATTTTTTCTCCGCGCCGCGTTTCTCAACCGTACCACAACCAACCTCACCATATTCTTTTGCCTTCTTTCCCGCTGAGGGTCATGACGTCATCTCCACGGTTCGTGCTAGATTCTAGATCGAAAATGACGCACCAACTCGATCGCGACCCGTGTCTTCTAGTTAGCTGATTCACACAATACATCGGTACACATCATAGGGTTTTTTTGGCAACCTTGTTGTCTTTTATGAACATTTTCAAGAGCCCGACTTTTGTGAGTTTCTGGCCTTTTAGCGCGACGTTCGTCCCAGTCGAAGTCATTCCGTACTTTGGAACTGCTTCCAGTTGTCGACTCGTCTATGGCATAATCATCGCATACGGCACAAATGTACCGACCGAAGCGCCTTGACACTTTTTCGGGTTTTATGAAAACAACGGAATGCAATCGCCGAAACGAATGCCGCGGACTGGATTTCCTTTCTTCTAAATCTTAAGTCTGAGGCAGCTAGCACATTGAGTAAGTAGACAGTATTATTGACGGTATTGTACATATTTACTATCCTGTCGGTGTCCTTGCACGCTCTCCACTCCTATTGAGTTAGTTCTTCCTACTGGTTCCCAACCTAGAGGCACGAAGTTGGACCATGCAGCGATATTCGCACCACTGATGAGGCACCAGGAACCAATTTCTAATTATTATTCTATGCAGAATATTGACATGAATGACGCAATGCCTTTAAAGGTTCCCACTAATTTTTGAGGTACCCGAGGCCCGTAGCGCGGCAAGAAGCCAGAGTCGAGCCAGGACGAGTTGCAGCGCCTGGTGTGCGATGTTGGACGTCAGTGGGACACTCTATTTAACTTGACGCGAAATCGCTACATATAGTACGCGCGCGACTCGTCCGCTGACTTTGCCTTCTTGACGGGTCCTGATGGGTACCCAAAATTTCTAATTTACCAGTCGTTCAGCGAAGGGTATTATTTTGGGTGTTTCCTAGAATAATTGCCATATATATAGCAATGCTACTGGCCTTATAGATAAGTGCAGAACACCTATTATTGATAAATAGTTCTAGCCACAATTAGGTCTGGAAAACTTGAAGAATTACATCTATTCTAAGCCTAATAGTGGATTTTTTGGCAGGTGTCCGGGTGTTTTTTTCTATCTTCTGATTGAACGATGAATTGCTGGGATCATGTGATAACTGGTACCTTTTTGTGATAGTGATAACCATGCTGTCAAATGCGAACACTTTCACTTCTACCGTAAACAGAAACAGCGTTATGAAACTCACACAATTTTGCGCCACACTTCCCTTCCATACTTCCTGTTCACCAGCTGTCTGAAGCTCTCGTGTATCCATCCGAACTGAAACACTTTTCAGTTTGAAATACTTGGTCTATGATAACTGCTTGCAGCAATTTGGGTGGAAATTTGTCAAAAATTGTGTTGTCACACAAAAATGGTACTAACATACAATTAACTTCAATCAGGATCAATACAGACATACACTAAGGTTAAGATGAAAAGGAGGTATAAAGGGTCTAAGGTTTAGCAGCTTATTCATGAGCGATTTCAACATTTCTCACTCACCATGACGAAAGTCGCAAGTCTATCAGAAGACGCTGTCGTGTATGAATTCCTCTTGCGAGATTTGGATTCGTTAACGATTCATCACGAGCACGTTATCGTCTAGGCAGCAAGAGAGATGACCATTTGCAATTACGAAATGCCTAATATTTGACTAATGCTTCCGACAGCAACAAGGCTTCAGCCAAATAATTTCACTACAAATAAATATTGTTGACATCGTCAAAATTAGTGAGCATTTCTTACATAGATATATGTATGTATACATATATCAAAGTCGGAAAGACATCTTCGATGGGGCCCACGTTCTTGCTAGCTATGAAAATACTGCTGAAAATGCGTAATGCCTTCAATTCAACTTGTTCTATTCGCTACCACCGTATCAATATCGTCAGATATTTTGAAATATCTCAAAAAGAGAAGCCAAGGAATTTCGTCATAGGAAGTGAAGAACATAAATGGACAGGTAAGTGAAGGGGTTAAATCAAAGGCAGGCCTTGGGATTAGCTGGTCCAGTAGGAACGATAGAGCAAGGAAAATTGTGAGGTCCGTAACCCATAGGTCATGCCAGCTTCGTCGCACAGGATGCGCGGTTAAGATCCAGGTAGAGAACTGCGCAGCGTTCCATGACAGTGTTGGAGATTCCGATCTCAAGGATGCTGGCAGTTCCAGCGGTGCGGAAGTGAAATTAGGAGATTACTTGAAAGCATTTCAAAACAGTAGAAGACAACGAAAACTTCTTCGTGCAGAAGCACACGGTCAGACCTGCAGCGCCTTCACAGAAAGCAGCTTGCATTTCTACCTAAATTTGGTCGCTACCGGACATTGACTTTGTTCTACGAATGGATATAGAAATTGTGTATCCATAATTGTTAATCAAGTTGCCAATTAACATTTCAAAAAGACTCATTTGAGCGGTGATGAAGTGGTGGCAAGAGAGGCCGCTACCGCACCCGTAGTCCCTGGATCGAAGTCCCGAGTCAAATCTAGCGCACGTCAGTCAAACTTCTCTGACTTGACAATTGAAGAAATGCTTCTGAACCTACTTCTGTTTGATTAGTACAATTCACTTACGTACAGTTCATCCTGAGCCACCCAACCCAGTCCACGGTACTTTTCCTGAAAGTTTCATGAACTCACGATTTATGGACGTCACACTGACTTCTAACAAGGGAGGTCTTTCAGGGCAAGGTGCACTTTTTGGAAACGGTTTAGTGCATGTTGTAGGGACGCATATATGGACCACGAGGCCATGTTTCATTTCTGCTGAACGATTTTAGTAGTACCAAAAAAGTGGTAAATAATACCCTTGATGATTCAATCCCTCGCGGCAACTGAACTTTGCAATCAAGGTTGGCGGCCAATTGTTGGCTTCAAATGGTGTTGAATGGATTTGACATCTGATTCTGAAATTTAGCGCGATTTGACACTAAACTGTAGGCGCCAATCCAAATGCAAAATTTAGTCGCCACGGCGGATCGAAACTTAATAGTACCTTATGCTTCTTTTTTGGTACTGTTATAACCGTTCAGCGAAGATGAAACATGGTTTTGCGTTCCCTACATGCGTCCTACAATATGCACAAAACCGTTTTGGAGAAGCGTACTTTACCGTGAAAGACCACCCTTGTAAGTGAAACAGAGATCAAGGATTCACTATTCAGTGGTAGTCAGATGTGGCACTTCTGCCAGACCTAAGGAAACAATAAGATGATGCGAAACATGGGGCTTTATCACGCTGACATGCAAGCCAGTGCCAATCGTCAAGGTCGTTGTTCCCGTCTTTCGAGGCACAGTCATCAGGTACCGCTTACTCATATGCAGCATGCGTGAAGGGAATACACATAAGGGACCATTTTTATGGAACATTCCTATTTGAGCCATGGTTCCCAAAAGACGGTGGCGGGTTGAAGGCAGATTCCCCAAGCAAGCAATCCACTGGAAATTAAGCGAGGAACGGTCGGTGAGCCACGAAAGAAGTAAAGTCCGAGAAAAATGACCTAGAACCCAAAAAATGGGATCCTTTCCTGCCCGTTGATTTGCTCATCGATGCGACTCTTATCGGTGCTACCCCCTTTGCCTATCGCTGTCTCTGATGAAGGGCTAGAGACTCACGGAAAGTGTTCCAAATTCCCATGGGACTTTGAATTGAGACTTATGTAGATCGATAAAGCCAAGAATGCTGGTTACAAATATGGCAAGCAAAACTGTTACGCGAACTTGGCGAAGAAACTGTGAGCGATTGAAGTTGGCTCTCAATGCAGCATGGTACGATAATTTTTGATAAACAGCTACTTGCAAGAGATTCCCATGATTACGAAGATGACATATATTTTTGACGCAGGCGCCATGGCACCAATATGGAAGTGTCAAGCTAAAATGCAAAATTTTGTCATTACGGGGAGTCGAACTTGGAACTACTTTGATCGCTAAGAACTTCCTTGGCAAGTTCACATAGCGGTTTTAATCAGCTTATTTGTAATCATTTCCCAGGTTCTATCGATTTACCTAGGGCCAGTTCGAATTTGTGTAGGAAATTGAGACACTTCCCTGGTCAGACACGAGACGACTCGATAGGGGGCTGGGTCGGGCCAACTGCACCAGTTGGGCCGCGGGGAAGGCTATGCTAGATGTGCGGGAGTATATCCACCAATGCGAATTGGTCGCTTCGCTCCCCTGAGAAGCCCTTTCGTCTATTCACTAGGTATTCCCTGACTCGACCTTCGCCCTTATCGTAAAACATTTAATACGAGCCACGTCAAAGGAAGTGATTATTTGGATAAGAATGATATCCCACAAGGCCATGTCTGAACATAGTGAGGTGAAAATGTAGTTCGAGGGGGCCGCTCTTCCATTTTTTTTTTTTCACTTTTGTCTTGGTTATGCTTATCGCAGCAGCCAAGGGCCTTCGACTGCTCTGAAAGGATAGGATAATACGTAAACGGCTCATTTGCGGTGTGCTTTTGATAAGGGCCGGTGAATGTCCTCAGCTCCACGCTTCCTGCCCACATCCCATCCAATTGTTTGCACCTGATAATCCCTGGAACCCTCAGGCTAGGGGGAAATGTCCATTTCTCTGGTCCAAGACCGCTTCTTCGAGCCATGCCAGGAGAAGATGTGAAGGCATCCCAGGGTTCCTAAAGAATACACCGATACTTATCAGACGCATCTTCAAAATGAGTCGATATCGTATCATGAGTGCCAATATTTGTAGCTATGATATTGTAGAGTACAATGGAATGGCCCCCTCGAACTATATTTGCACCCATAGTGATTCAGTAATGAAAATACGTTACCGCATGTTGATACCTTAAAGGCGCGATTGCGATAAAGTGGGGACGCATCGGGGAAGCTTATGCACTACATGGATCGTTTACTTGGCTGCCACGGAAACGAGGTGCAGCGCTTTCACGACGGAAGGTTCACTTGTTGCTGAGCAGGGTTTCGAAAGCGCTCCGCCCCCAAAAGCGATCCGCCCACTAGTTTAGTCGGTGATTTGAACAAGCAGCGCTGCCAGCAGCTGTACAACTAGAGCAACTCGATTGGAGTGTGGATTGGCATGGTGTTACCAAACGCGTTGCGCCGACCTTGTTCATCAGCCCGCTGTCCAAGCCGTCACCAGTTCATGTGTGAAACCAACGGCTAGAAAAGGGGTCCCATTTTGCATTGTTCCGACAAATTTCTCCGCTTTTTTTCGTCACCGATGTAGCATTGAGCTCCAACTCGTTTCCACTAAACCCTTCTTGTACCTATCGTGATCACTGCCTTCAAAGGTGGGATCAGCATCGCGCAAACCTAACTACTCGTAATATTTATTCCTTCAACTGCTAATGACCACAATCCATGGTGCAGTAGCAGCGATGCGGTACATGCGCCGTCCCATTGAGTGCAAAAATCCGGGCACTGCGAGTTTTTTTTTTACAATGTAGGGATATTCGCCATTTCGACTGGTGGCACGTTGTAATTCTTCATTCCTTATGTTTTGCTAAACTGACAGGAAAAGTCCCAGTAATGGCTCTAACACGCAGGTGAGGGTGATCGATGGCGTGCTCAGTGTGAAGTGGCACAAAAAAGCAAATTTCAAGAGGGTCTTGATTCAAGCCACACGGGAAACTCACTCAGACTCTCCTTTTTCACCAGAAAAAAGGTCATCTGTGATGATGTTTCTACTCACAAGGAAGCGATGGTAGGTCGAATTGGCCATTGGAGATGTGATGTATAGCAGCTAAAGCTTCTTCAAACTATAATTCCGGATCTGTTTTTCATGACGACTGAATGATTCTTTGAACAGAGCCACAGAGGTCTTGTTATACGTAGCGGGCAGCTCAGCAGGAATATGTGCCGCATAGTTTAGTAGCCCTGTGGTTACTATAACAGCCACATATCTGCAAGGGCATGGGTTCAATCCTTAATGATTGGGCTTTATTAGAAATATTCTATACCCTTGAAAATCCACCTCTGAATGGCTAGAAACCTGAACGTGCTGGAAGTATGTCTGCGAAGAAAAGGGCCATTTCAGATAGTCTGGGTGTGGCTACGCTTGCTTCTTTGGCACACCAACCAAGCTAAACCTCTGACTTTGTCAAAAGTTCACAAACACGATCAGATTTCTGTGCTAATAAGGATTCTAATATTTGTGGAAATGTCGTGTTCGCATTCTTCGGAGCAATTATTGGTATGAGCGGACCTAGAGAGAACTCGAGGACTTGCGCTCACTTCTCGCGTCAAGCGAGTGCAATATTGGTGTTTGAGAGCTCACCTGGGCGTATTAAAC